TGCAAAGAAAGTACAAGAAGGGATCCCTCCCTCTCTAAGTCTTGTGATAGAAAGATGAACCACTGGGTAGAAAGCAAAGTCATAAGCTTGCACCAACTACGAGCCTGTACCGTTTATAGGTGTGAATGTGTCCAAATTTACAAAAGATATGTGCTGCTATCACCCCAAGCCATGGAATTGACATAAGAGCTGCTCTGAGACCCATAAAACCTCTGCATCCCAGCAGATACATGAGAAGAAACACCACTAGGGAGACTTTCACACCTGCTGCAGTTGAGATTCCTACCTAAGAATAACTCTCAGTGTAAGATGAGCTCACACAAAATAATTACAAATCACTGGAGCAATTAAACCATCATGATGTGGAAGGAGGGAATCAGCAGCCTGAGCAGAGACAGAAGACAGAAACGAGAAGGGCCAAAATGCACCTGGTGAGGATTCAAGAAGGAGGTGGAAAAAAAAAAAATACAAGAGAGAAGCATTTTTCAAAGAGATAGTGATGCCCACCTTTCCAGACTCGTAGAAAGGTTCTCAGCTGGAAGAGTCACGTGGAACCCTAAGCACCGTGTGGTATTTCTCAAAGAAACATACACCGCAGGACAGCCGCCTGGGCGTGAGACGGGTCAAAGGAAGGGACTGGAATATCGTTCTTTTGTTATTCCAGTTGGGTCATTCTCACCAAAGTTTGGATTATGGAAAGGAAAGGGGAAAAGAAGCCGGAACGCAAAACTTAGGCCGCAAAATAGGATGATATGTGAAGGGTGACACAACTGTTGCTTCAGATAAGTATGACTAACATGAAAAGCTTTCATAAAAAAGGTGAGAACAGCGGGCTGGACGCCATCGCACCGTGCTCGACACGTCTCAAGACTTGCTAATGGAACGCCGCGTCAATGAGATACTATTTTATGTACTGTACAGGCCTTCTGTTATTTCCCAATTTACTGAAAAAAATCAGAGAAAACTATTTAATTAGAAAATGAAGGCACTGAAGTCCCCTCCAAGACTTCTGCAGGGTTTCTAAGGAAGAATCCAAGGCTGTCAGGGCACCGTGGTTACGGGTGCTCACTCTTTACGCTAGCGAACGTTCACCTTAAAGATGAGTCTTCTTCCTTGATTCAAAGTGTTACTAGCAATAGTTTTGTCGACAAGACATTTGAGCTAGCTTGCATTCACAAGAAGAACGCCAGACTGACCAGAGGAAAGTTTTCTTTCCTCTTGCCTCTGTGCTAGGGCCGGGGCAGTGGGAGTGGGGAGGGAGTGTGGGGCAAGCAGGGTGTAAGGTCTGTGTTATTCCTCAACCCTGCTGAGCAATCACCTTGGCAAACCACAGCCTCTCTGGGCCTGGTTTCTGTCTGTGTTAAGTGGGGCCCTCCTCACAGGGTGCTCGTGAAGACGGATGAATGTAATGAATGCCCACCGTGCCAGGCCTAAAGGAGGAGCTCACTCAAGGTGAGGAACACAGCACTTTTCTTTTTTTTTTTTTTAATTAAAAAAAATTTTTTTTAATGTTTATTTATTTTTGAGACAGAGCGTTGTGAGGGAGGGGCAGAGAGAGAGAGAGAGGGAGACACAGAATCGGAAGCAGGCTCCAGGCTCTGAGCTGTCAGCACAGAGCCCGACGCGGGGCTCGAACTCACCAACCTCGAGATCATGGCCTGAGCCAAAGTCAGACACTCAATCGACCCAGCCACCCGGGCGTCCCAGCGCTTTTCTTTTTAGAGCAAGTGCTAGAAATCAGAGGGACAGCAGCAAGCTCTACGTGTTAGAGGCAAAGTCTTTGGAGAATGATTTACTGGGTATTTACTTGAAATCATTTCAGAGTATAGGCGATTATAAACAAACAGAGTCAAGAATCTTAAGGGAGAAGGATACCAAGGATACGGAAGAGTAACCATGGCTTCCAAGAGCAGCCATGGGGCAGGCGTGGAAGGCGTGGACTGGCTGGGGTCTGGGGCATGTGGGAACCAAGCCTTTGAAAGGCAAAGCAACCTTGGTTATAATCCAACCCACAGAATTTCATGTAAATAATCTGGTGACTCCTAAAGACATCTTTATAAAAACAACTTTTATACAGCCTTAGCCTTTTTTTTCAGTGTTTGTTTATTTCAAGACACAGAGTGTGAACAGGGGAGGGGCAGAGAGAGACTCCCAAGCAGGCCCTGTGCTGTCAGCTCAGAGCCTGACACAGGGCTCGATCTCACCAACCCTGAGACAGTGACAATCATCTCACGTCGATGCCGAAATCCAGAGTCAGAGGCTGAACCTCCTGAGCCACCCAGGCGCTTCAGCCTTAGTCTTTTTATACCTGGTTGCTACTGAGGCCCCTGTCTTCAATGCAATATGACTGTAGTTAAGATTTCCTAGTTTTTCAACTTCCCCTTTTATCATTCAGGTCATTTACTGTATGTTATTTTTGAAAAAGGAGTTTAGCAACAAAGAGTAAAGTCTACTAAGACAAAATATTCCAGGCACATTTCTATAAATTAATACCAGGTTCCTGTTACTTATCCAATTAAGTGTTCATTGTTTTATGATTAACGTAAGTATTCATGTAATTACACTTCATTATAACGGACTGACTCAAGGGTTTGCAGGTGCCGCAACCAAGCCCACCTACATGCTGAGAACTTAATCTGAGTGATCTCAAGCCAGGGATCCAGAACTGCCTACAAGAACAGTTAACCTTTTGAAACCCAGTCCAAAGAGCAGATGTCTAACTATCACCAGGTTTTCAAAGGAATCCATGACCTTAAAATAGTTAGGAAGCATTAATTTACTGACTATATCCTTCCTTTTCCTGATGCCTCCTATTCCAGCACAAGTATCTCCCTCATGTGTAACAAAATGATATACTAAAAACTCAGGCCGTTATGGGTAGCTATTTTGTTTCCGAATTTAGAAGGTGTCAGGCTGGGAAAGTTACAGGCAAATATAACTTCAAAGGAGGAATACTTCACACAGATAACCCTGTATTTGTACCACTCACGCCATATAACTAGTTGTGTTGACTTCACATAAATTTAACTACCAAAGATATAATGAAATGGGCACTTTTTGAAAAATCACAAAGCAACATCACCTAAGCCGTTAGGAAATTAGAAGGGTTATTATATTACAATAAGCATGTCCCTATAAATCACTTTCTAACAGTGCAATTCTAGAGAAAGAAGTAAAATTAACATTAACTTTTTGCTTAACTGTACGTCCATAGATAGTTGCCTATTTTGCCCAAAGGGCATTAGAAGCTCTTTTAGGACACAATCGAAAGAACTAAACATCTAAATGAGGGCCTAATAACTTTTAAAAAGTCATACCCAAGATAATACAATGATGCTGATTGAAATATAATAGTGTACATATATATTTAATATAATCTATCTAAAATATGCTCTAGACACAATTAAAATGATTCTTTAAAAATGAAATGAGCCATATGATCCTCATTCTCTCTGAAAGAGGTATTAGAATAGTTTAAAAAAGCAAATACATTATTTGTTAAACATCAAAGTTTCCTGATTTCTTTCATAGGCTGCTATGTATATCTAATGATTTTCACTTGCTAAATGGATTTTCATCACTGTATTTTTTCCGATATTTATCTTATAGATGTAATTGTTTTACAGGCCAGGTTTTCTACACTTTTAAGCCCACACTGTACATGAATGATTTAGGTGTAATATCTACTAAAAATTGTGTTCAATGTCTGGTTCAGTAATAACATACATTAAACATTAAAAAAGCATAGGACTTAAGCAAAATGAAATACTTGAAAACACGGTAACTCAATAAATTTAAAAGTCTACTCTGCATATTTTTACACACGCCGAACAGATGTCACTTTGGAGACACCTCTTTTCTAGAGAGGAAGTTCTGCTACCAGAGACACTGAACCTTTTAGTGAAACATTCCATCACCAAAACCAGGAGGTCAGCTCCTGGAAATTTTTGAAAAATATTGTGATATCTATTGTATTTTTTAGGGGGGGGGTTAATAGCCTGCTCGTATTCAAGAAAGAAAAGCACAGGGAGAGCCATAGGAAAATATTTGCTTTAAAAGAAAACTAAACACGATTCCATTGCTTTACAAACACAGATCTACCTGTGGTAAAGCCCACCCAGCGGCATTAACACACAGAGCGCCGTCGCTAACAATCCACCTGCACAACATTGGGCATCACTCGATGAGTTGTTTCACAAAAAAAAAAACAAAACTGCGTGTGATGGTGTCAGTATGTATAAACACCAGACCACCCAGTAACGACTTAAAAATTATCAACTCGCTAACTCTGGTTTAACCAAACGAGAACATGCAAATACATAAATGCCAACCCTGGGAACTTAACGCGGGGTAATGGGTAGAAGGGGGTTGGATCGTCGAGTTATAATCCCACCGAAGAGCGGGTGAGCCACCTGTGATTTTAAGCATCTCTGCGTCTCCGCGAAAACGCCCCAACTAACCCTGGGCAACTTTGTACTCGGTGCATTTACTCTGCTTACTCAGTGTCCGTGGATGGGCTAGTCGCCCATCCAGGGCAATGTTTTTTGGCAAAATCAATCTGCAGGAAACAAATCATTCTTATCTCCATTCCGTCTCATCCCCGCACCCCCCCCCCCGCCCACGCCGGCCTCCCTCTCCCTCCCCCCTACTCTCCCCCTCCCCCACCCCGGCCCCGACAAAGTTATTTAAGTGCTGTGGCAGAGCGCACATCAGTTAGCAAAGTTTTCTCCCGCGAAGAAAGGCCACCTGTCCCGGCTGGTTCCCACCTGTGCCAGAGCCCTCACAGCCGGGCGGAGGACGTCCCACGCTGCGTGGGACACGGGGGGGGCCAAGGGAGAGGGGGCGGGGCGGGAAGGTAGCTCCGGGGTCTTGGGCAAGGGCTGCGGAGGAACCGGGCGGCCCCAACCTCGCAGGAGTTCGTTCAGGGGCTGCAAGAGAAGGCAGGAAGGACATCCGGGCAACGGGGAGGCGGAGTGGTGGCCCGTGACCATTCTCTCTACCTGCGGTCCTCCTGGCGGTCCGGGCGAGCAAACGGCCACCGCACTTCCCTTCATTCCCGACGGGATGAGACCCCCGGCTTCTCCCCGGGCCGCGCGGGCCTGGGCTCCGTCCTCCGTCCTCGGCGACCGCAGCGACAGCTCTGCTCCTGGGCGGGGGCACCGCCCCAGAGCCGCGGGGGCCCCATCCTGCCTGGCCTGGCGCCACCGGCCAGGCAGGGAGGCGGGGGCCGTTCCCCTCGGGGGGGGTGGGGGGTAGGCCATGGCCCCTGCACTGCCCGGCGCCCTTCCTGCCCGCGCGCGTCAGCTGATCTGGACAGCAGGCGCTGCCGGCGGACGCGCCCTGGCTCCTCCCCTCCGCCGCGCCCCCTGCCGGCCCCAGAGCCGCGCGCCCCGCACGACCGCGCCCCCCGCGTGCCGCCCGTCCCACCGCCGCGAGCCCCGACAGCACCCCGGCGCCCCCTCCCGCCCTCCGCTCGCCCCCCACGGTCGCGCACGCGCGCGTGTCGCTGAGCAGGGCGCTCGCAGACCCCCCGCTCCCAGCCGGCTCCTCCAGGCTGCCCGCGGGGGGCGCCCTCCTGCTCCCCTCCGGCCCTCGGGCGCCCGCCTCGGGCATCCCGGGCCTGGGGCTCGCGCAACCACCCCTCTTCCCACCTGGGCTCCGGGCCGCCCGCTGCAACAGCCGGCGCATTTCCTAATTTAGGGCGTCCCCGCCGGGGGCATGGTCCCTTGCAGGAGGCTCGAGAGCCTTGCCGACCACCACTGGGGCTCCGGAAGCGGCGCCCTCTCCTCGTCGACACTCCTGCAAAGCAAGGGCCGGCCCCCGCCGCGAGGAGGCACCCCGCGGGATGGGCGGAAGCCTGGTGCCGGCAGAAATGCCGCCGCACACCACCAGCTCCCTGCGTAGGGCTCCTTCGCAGCGAGCGCTGATCATGACTTTTACGAAGCCGCTTTTACTCTGGTTTTCCCAGGCCTGGAGAGGTGCGCCCCACTGTGTTTCCATGGCCTCCAGGTATCCTGTGAGTGCTGATGTACCTCAATCGTGGATTTTCTGGTTGCGTCCACACAGTTGCGCCCCTTTGTCCACACAGGAGGGTGAACTTGGTTTTATCATTTTTGTGTCTGGAGAATGGTTTGGGTATCTGAAGACGTTTGGTGAATGTGCTCGGGAGGTAAATTCTCTCCTTCCTGCAAGGATCATTTTGATGTGTTTTCTGATTTATTACCGTTTATTTATTTAGAGAGAAAGCGTGAGCAGGAGAGGGGTGGAGGGAGAAGGAAAGAGAAGCCTGAGCAGGCTCCTTGCCCAACGCGGAGCCCTTAGCCAGGCTGGATCTCAGGACTGGGAGATCAGGACCTGAGCCGAAATCCAGAGTCAGGTTTAACCAACTGAGCCACCCCGGTTGCCCCTAGTTTCTGATTTTTTTTAAATGGAGTTATGCTACCGTATTGGGAACCAGATGGAAACATAAAGATCCTGGAGAATTTAAACATGTCTTTCATGTAACAAAATGAATAGTCCCAAGGCGGAAATGTTTCTAATGCTCAGATTACATGAAAGCAAACTTTTTCAAAAGTAGAAATGGGGGGGGGGGTAAGTCAGTGTCCAATAAGAGAAGTCCAACGAAAGGTTTCGTATCACCTCATAGGTGATAGTGACAACCATTTCTTTCAAAAACTTCACTCTCACAAGGATAAATAAGATTGATACAGGTTGCGCTATATTATTAAGGACATATGAATCATTTTCTATCTGTTTTGCAGGCAGCGTAGTGAAAAGAATTGCGAACTGTTGCTCTAAAAATGTCCTTACTATCCAGCAAAGGTTGCAGGGTGTACCTTTGTGTCAAAGAATTCAAGTTATTAATTCATTTTCACTGCCCAAACTAATACTATCTCAGAGTCAGGACTTCTTTTCTGTTGCCTTAGAAAGAAATAACTGGCAACAGTTTGATGCTGTGGAGGGTGAGAACACAGAGGATTCAGAGCACTTGCCATAATTGTCCTGGCAGGAAAGCTAAATACAGCCAAAGCAGTGTATGGAAAAACCCCAGTCGTGTGTACAAGGGCATGACGGCTCCAGTTTGAGCACCCTATCAGTAAAAAATATTTTGAGCGACCCGGTACATGTATATTTATTTGTAAATTATATGCATTTGTGAAGATACAGTATGTTACATGCCTGAAGTTAACATATTACATTGGAAAACAAATAGAAACTTAAAAAGGAAAGATAAAGGTACACAGGGGAAAAGTATTGGAATAAATGAGGATCTCTGCACACGGGCTCCCCAATGGAACAACCATAGTGGTGCAAAGTTTTAAAAACAATCATTTAAAGTGTCTGGAAATTGTCCCAAGGGCATACAGGCAATGAAGGAACATTTGTTCATGAAAATCTACTAAATCTTGATAAGAAGAGCAAGAATCTGGGCATCTGGTCAACGCCATGGAAACTCTGCTCTGGAGGAATGTGGACAGAGAAGATGGCCTCTCTCCCCAGTTCCTGGTCTAGGATATCGGCTTCTCCCTGGGAGGGGCAGGCCTCCACCCTTCTCAGCCCCAGTCCCCAAGCTGTGTGCAGACGTGGCTGAGGGGTGTGGGGCTTTCCACCTATCCAGCCACCACTGGGGGTGGGGGGGGTGGTGGTGGGAGGTGTGGAAGCTCTATGCCAGGTATAGCGGGGTAAGAATATTGGGCTTCTACTAATGACCCCACCATAGCTTACTCATAGGGTGGAGGTTCCTCCTTGGAAGAGGAAAATTGAAAATAAATAGCAAGGGCTACAGACCCCAGTCAGTGCCCTGCCCATAGAGCACAAGGGTCACTGTGAAGGAAAAGGCTGCTGCCTGCCTCCAGCTCTGGGGCAGCGGGGCAGAGGTTCTGGGCAGTGGGAAACACAGGCTGTAACATGGCCCCATAGCTCTCCCTGAGAAGACGGATTTTATTTCGAAGAGGGTGTGGGGAAGCTCATACCTAAGGACCCAGTGGAGATCTTGGTAATGAGCAATTAACAGGACGTTGGAAGCTCCGTGATAGCAAAAAGCTAAATGGTGGACCCGCTAGGAATTTAAGAGAGAAACCCAGGGAAAAAGAAAAGAGCTCCCCCCACCGCCCCACCACCAGGGTGGAGGAAACCTCAGAGACTGGCCTCAAAGATTACTCCTGCAAAGGGACTGGACTGTAATTGGATCCAACTGAGGAACAGTTTATGCCTAGGTGTTGTTGAAAATAACAGGGAAATCAGCCAGCAATCAGTGGAGGCTAAGAACTGAGTGTGATACGCACAGAGGCAAACCAGCCAGAAGTTCAACAGGGACTTTGGGGACAGGAGTCTCAGAGGCTAAACTGACCAAGAAAGAAAAGAGGAAAGACTCAAATTCTTCAAGCCAGGAGTGAAAGAGGGAGCATCAATATCAACCTTAGAGAAAAGGATTTTCAAGGAATACTGCGGAACAACCGTGTACTGACAAATTATGTAATTTACATGATATATGCAAACAAATGCAAAAGAAGGAAACGTGTTCCCTTCCTTCAACCACGCACAAAAGTTAACTTAAAATGGGTCACAGGCCTCGTGCAGGAGCTTAAAGAAAAGACTCCTAGAAGAAAATACCAGAGTCAATCCTTGTAACCTTGGGTGGGGCACTCATAAGCAACAAATGAAAAAACCGGACAAATGTGGCTTCACCAAAATTAACAAGGTTTTGCCATCAAGAAAGTGAAAAAACAACACACTGAGTGGGAGAAAATATTTGCAAATCACGTATCTAACAAGAGACTTATAACCAGAGTATGTAGAGAGAACTTTAACAACTCTGCAATAAGACCACTCTGTTAAAAACAAGCAAAAGATCTGGATAGTTATTTCTCCAAAGAAAATGCACAAATAACCAGTAATTGCATGAAAAGATACTCAAAACTATTAGCCACTAAGGAAATACAAACCAAAATCACAATGAGATACCACTCCACACCCTCTAGAAAGGCTATAATAAAAGGAAAAAGTAGGGGTGCCTGGGTGGCTCAGTTAAGTGTCCGACTTCAGCTCAGGTCATGATCTCCCAGGTTGTGAGTTCAAGCCCCGTGCCGGGCTCTGTGCGGACAGCTCGGAGCCTGGAGCCTGCTTCAGATTCTGTGTCTCCCTCTCTCTCTGCTCTCCCTTGTTCATGCTCTGTCCCTGTCTCAAAAATGAATAAATACTAAAAAGATAGGAAGACAAATAATAGCAAATTGTTGACAAGGATGTGGGGCAACACTTCTTTTAGTATGCCAAGAGACATAAAAATGTGTTTTCACACAAACACTTGTATGCACATGTTTATGGCAGCATTATTCAGAATAATCTAGAAACAACAGAAATGTTCAACTAATGGATGAATTAAAAAAATGTACACCCATACAACGGGATTCAGCTGTAAACAGTAATGAAGGACTGTTACAATACTGCCATACGGATGAACCTTGAAAACATGCAGGGTGTCACAAAACTGGTCACAAAACATCCACATTATGTTATTTGACTTACGGAAAATGTCTGGAAGAGACACTGAGGGGGTGATCACTGCACGCCTCTGTGGATATACTCAAAATCTCTTAATTATATACCATAAGTGGATAAATGTTTATGGTCTGCTAATTATATCTGAATAAAGGTACTAAACAAAGTGCTTATAAATAATAATAGTCACGTGCCCCCAACCCCCAACTCCAGGGAAGTTTGGCAAAGTTGGAAGTAGCCGTTGTTTCTGCTTTGAAGTTTTCTTCTTCAGTGATTAAAACTAACTGGGAATAAGGTCTCGGGTCGCTTCTATAAAACCCATCCCTTCTCTGACATATTTACTTCTGTGATGACATCCTGGGTTCTTTTTTAATTTTTTGGACTGTATTTTCAAAAGAGGCTCGATAAGTCAAGGGTTCTTTCTGTGACTGTTTAGGTTAAATTGGTACAGTGTATGTGTCAGAATTATCAATTGTGATTTCACAGTTCAGAGGGACACCATGATGTGGTAAAAGAACGCTGAACTTTGTGCTAGGGGCCCTAGTTAATTTAAATTCATTTCCTACATCTAGCAATCCTTTCTGTGGCGAGAGCTCTCTCTACGGGCCCAAAGCTTTTCAATGTATTGTATTGTATTTTGAGAAGGAGAGAGAGAAAGAGCACAGGAGCAGGGAAGAGG